GAAGTCAAAATTGTTTACAATACGAAAGATGCTATATTGAAACTGTTTAGTCCATCTCCAACATGGGCCCAGTGAGTCTCACCTCCAGGTTTTCATACCCCTCCCACGCCGAATAAGACTGACCAGTGTGATTAACAGGGCACTGTGAAAATGACAGAGTATAACTTGCAAGATTAGATAATAAGTCACTGCAGCTCTGCCTTGCTCTCTCTTACCGTAAACCACTAGCATTAGAGGAAACAGAGGCCATGTTGTGAAGACACTTTAGCCGTCATCTTCTAGAGCAGTGGTTCTCAACCTGTGGGTCGCGACCCCTTTGAGGGTCAAATGATCCTTTCACAGGGGTCGCCTAAGACCATCGGAAAACACATACACAATACATATTGTTTTTGTGATTAATCACTATGCTTTAATTATGTTCAATTTGTAACAGTGAAATTGGGGGTCACCACAACATGAGGAACTGTATTAAAGGGTCGTGGCATTAGGGAGGTTGAGAACCACTGCTCTAGAGAAACACGTGTCTCAGAACCAAGTCCCCAGCCATGTGAGTGAGCCACTTTGGAAGCACATGCTACTGCCCCAGTCCAGCCTTCGGATGACACCTGTCCACACCAACACCCTGACTGCAACCTCATGAGCTCTTAAGCCAGAACCACCCAGCTAAGCCACTCATGGATTTCTGACTCTCAGAGATGGTGTGAGATAATACACATTTATTGTTGTTTTAAGCTACAATGTTTGGGGGCAACTTGTTACACAGCAATAGATAACGAATACACCCAGGATAAATTAGCCTATGTACAGATGAGGAGGTCAGAGGCCAGAGGTCAGAGGCAAGTCCAAAGTTGTACAACGGGTAGGATTTGGGGGTTCCAGTTCTGCTTAGATATCTTAAAGCTGAATCGATCTCTCACGCCGTAAAAATTATACCAGTTTTTCTGGTTAGCGATTGCCATGTAAGTAATAAGGCCAAAGCTCAGTGGTTTAAAACAACAGTCATTTCATTATCTTCCATTGGCCTATGGTTGATGACATCGGGAAAGGCTTAGCCTGGATTTGATCAAGATCTGATCAAACACCTGTTTTCATGGAGCCTCACGGCTTTCCACATGGTTCCTTCGTGTGGGGTACACTGGGCTTCCTCACCGCTTGGTGGCTTCAAGGAAGCAGAACTGCTCGCATGATGGCTGAAGTTCAAGAGGATTTCAGCTCACAAGGAATTACATACCTTTCCTGACTCAACCTCAAGTCATCCAGCGTCACTTCTGCTGTGTTCCAATGGCTACAAGTGAGTCATGAGCCCACTCAATTTCAAGGGAAGGGGGACGAGACTCCACCTCTTTTTTAAAAAAATATATATTTTATTGATTTTTTACAGAGAGGAAGGGAGAGGGTATAGAGAGTTAGAAACATCCATGAGAGAGAAACATCGATCAGCTGCCTCCTGCACGCCCCCTACTGGGGATGTGCCCACAACCAAGGCACATGCCCTTGACCGGAATCGAACCCGGGACCCTTCAGTCCACAGGCCGACGCTCTGTCCACTGAGCCAAACCGGTTAGGGCGAGACTCCGCCTCTTACTGGGGGAAGTGAGTGGAGACAGGAGACATCTTTGAAAAATATAAGGTGGCCATACCAATCCAACTGCGTTGGCAAAGGCTAATGTAACGGGCGTGAACAACACAGAAGTTGATTTCCCTCTCATGTAACAGCCCAAGACTAAGCAATCCCAAGTGATATTAACAGTGACTAACGTTCCCGTGTCAGGAATTATAATGGTTCATTTAATTGTATGTGCCAACTTGACTGGGCCACAGGGTGACCAGAACCTTATTCTGTGTGTTTCTGGGTCCGATTAACATTTAAGTCGGCAGATGAGCAAAGCAGATGGCACTCCCTAAGGTGGGTGGGCCTCATCCCATCCGTTGAAGGCCTGAATGGAGCCAAAAAGCTGACCCTCCTCTGAGTGAGAAAGAATTCTTCCCGGCCGCCATAGTGCCAGGACATCAGCTTTCTTCCTTCAGATTCTAACGGAAACATTGGTTCTTTCCGGGTCTTGAGCTGCCAGCCTTCAGACAAGAATTACGCCACTTGCCGAAACCAGTTTGGCTCAGTGGATAGAGCATCGGCCTGCGGACTGAAGGGTCCCAGGTTCGATTCCGGTCAAGGGCATGTACCTTGGTTGCGGGCACATCCCCAGTAGGGGGTGTGCAGGAGGCAGCTGATCGATGTTTCTCTCTCATCGATGTTTCTAACTCTCTATCTCTCTCCCTTCCTCTCTGTAAAAAATCAATAAAAAAAAATATATTTTTTTAAAAAAAAGAATTACGCCACCTTGCCCGGCCTACATAGCCCAGTGGCTGAGCATCGACCTAGGAACCAAGAGGTCACGGTCAGGGCACATGCCTGGACTGCAGGCTCGATCCCCAGTGTGATGTGTGCAGGAGGCAGCCGATCAATGATTCTCTCTCATCGTTGATGTTTTTATCTCTCTCTCCTTCCCTCTCTGAAATAAAACAAAAAACAAAAAACAAAAAAACTAGACTACCAGCTCTCCTGATACGGTATTCAGGCCTTCGGACTTGGACTTGATCTAAACATCAGCTCTCCTGGGTCTCCAGTTGCCAATTCAACCGGCAGATCTTGGGGCAGGCCGACCTCCATAGAGATGTCTTCCTTCTGTCCTTCTAGCTTTTGGCTCCACCATCCACAACACAGGGCTTCCATCTCACAGGGTAAGGTGGTCCAGCCAGTGCCCAACACCCCACCCCATGCCAGCCGAAGGAAGGGAGAGGTTAAGGGGGAGGCCACGCTCCTTGCCTTTGAAGGCCATAACTTGCACACATCTCTTTGGCCAGAAGCTATTCACAGGGCGAGAAGCTAGCTGTGAGGGAGCCAGGGAGGTGTAGTCCTTAGCTGTGCAGCCAAGTCTCCAATGGAGCTTTCCTAGCACAGGTGAGTGGTTACTTAGGGGACACCCAGCATCTCTGCCACACAATTAAAAGACTGAAACTCGCCCTGGCCGGTGTGGCTCAGTGGATAGAGCATCGGCCTGCGGACTCAAGGGTCCCGGTTCGATTCAGGTCAAGGGCATGTACCTTGGTTTCGGGCACATCTCCAGTAGCGGGTGTGCAGGAGGCAGCTGATGGATGTTTCTCTCTCATGGATGTTTCTAACTCTCTATCCCTCTCCCTTCCTCTCTGTAAAAAATCAATAAAATATATTTAAAAATAAAATAAAGACTGAAACAAAGCCCTGGCCGGTGTGGCTCAGTTGGTTGGAGCGTTGTCCTAGGCACCAAAGGGTAGCAGGTTCAATTCCCGGTCAAGGCACATACTCTGGTCAGGATGCATTTGGGAGGCAACTGATTGACGTTTCCCTCTCACATCAATGATTATCTCTCTATCTCTTCCCCTTCCCTTCCTCTGTCTCTAAAATCAATAAGAACATTTTAAAGAAACAAAAACAAAAACTAGTATCTTAAGAATAAAGAGCCTTCTAGCCTTCTTTCCTTGGCCACAGTGACTGGCAGGACTCTCGATTATAGTGGCTCTGCCAGCCCAGGTGCCAGACTTCTACTGATCAGAACCCTCAGCCAAAATATAACACTTGTTATGCCCTGGCCAGCGTTGCTCAGTGGTTAGCATGTCGACCTGTGCACCGTAAAGTTGCAGGTTCAATCTCCACCCCACCCCCACCCCCCACACACACACGTTGGGGCGCGTGTGGGAAGCAGCCAAGCGATGTGTCTCTCTCACATCAATGTTTCTCTCTCTCTCCCCTCTTCCACCTTCCTTCCATTCATTCTAAAACGCAATGGGAAAAATATCCTCACTCCTTGGATAAAGATGAAAAATAAATAAAAAATAAGAAACCTTGTTATGCTGAGATTTAGGGGGGGGGGTGTTTCTTACTGCAGCATAACCTAACCTATACTCACTGCTATAGAAACCGGGAAAGTTAGATCTTGCCTAAGAGCACAAAGTTCATCCTAACGGCCCGACTAAGCACCTCCTTATAGTCCACTCACTGCTGGTAATTTGGGTGGGAATGACCTCACCCCTGCTGTACAGAGGGCATGGGACCCGGGCTTTACTAACAAGCCACCGAGCAACTCGTGAAGGCAAATCCCTTCTTTCCTATGGAAATGACTCTCTGTGCCTTAAGGGAGGCCTGAGGCTGCTGGAGGCCAATATGGGAAAGGCCTGACCTCCAGGCGAAGGGCCATCAGCTAATATTATTTGTTGAGAACATACTGTCTGCTATGGGCTGTTCATCCACCGCCCCTTTTAATCCTCACCGGAAGGTGGTTAGTACTGTCTCCCCTGTTTCCTGAGGAGACAGACAAGCAGGTGTTTGCTCCAGGAGATGTGGGAAATGTGGTCCTGACCCCGCCTTCCTCCCCCTCTTTCATCTCCCTCCCCTTCTCCTCCCCCCCCCCCGCACCTATTCTCTAGGCCAGTGGGTCTCAAACCTTCCTAATGCCACGACCCCTTTAATACAGTTCCCTCATGTTGGGGGGGACCCCCAATGTCACTGTTACAAATGGGACATAATTGAAAGCATAGTGATTACTCTCAAAAACAATATGTAATTATGTATGTGTTTTCCGATGGTCTTAGGCGACCCCTGTGAAAGGGTCGTTCGACCCCCAAAGGGGTCGTGACCCGCAGGTTGAGAACGGCTGCTCTAGTCACTCTTTTCTTTTCCATTTATTATTTATTTATTTTTTTGCATTTCTAACTTTAAAAAAATTTTTTTTAAAATATATATTTTATTGATTTTTCACAGAGAGGAAGGGAGAGGGATAGAGAGTTAGAAACATCGATGAGAGAGAAACATCGATCAGCTGCCTCCTGCACGCCCCCTACTGGGGATGTGCCCGCAACCCAGGTACATGCCCTTGGCTGGAATCGAACCTGGGACCTCGATGCTCTATCCACTGAGCCAAACCGGTTAGGGCTTTAAATTTCTTTATTCCCACATTCCCCCCCATCCCCCCGACTCAGGCCCTCACCCGCCTGCTGTCTGTGTCCATTTCTAGTCACTCTTTTGATGGTGGGCTCGCTCCAGCTCCCACCAAACCTTCACCACCAGCCTCTCGGTGGAAACCATGTCTTTGTTTACTGAGGGCTGACATCAGCGTCCGTCCTGGGGGAAGGTGACTCCAATGGCCTTCCTCACCTCCTCCAGGATGTCGGCCAGGAGCTCACTCTCCGCCAGGGGAACCACAGGACTCTCCTTCAGGCCTGCGGGGAGGGCAGTTAGAAAACCCCTCCTACTCACGCCCCCCAAGACCAGAAAGAACTACAACTCCCAGAATCCCACGAGGCACCGTCATGCATGGTTCAGGCACAAGATGTCCCAGGGGCCCCTGGGAGACGTAGTTCTAAACCGCTGCCTGAGTACTGAGGGGTGGGGAGGGTCCCTCCTCCCCTGCCGGGTGTGCCCTCCCACCCCGCACCCCTCCACCCCCGCCTTGCACGCCCTTACCCTTTCGCAGGCACTCCCGGACGTGCCTGGCCTCATAAGTCATGCCCGCTCCGTTTGTAAAATGGAACTCCTTGCCTGGGGCTGGGGGCAGCGGGAACTCCTTGCGCTCCCCCTTTACCACCAGTTCTGTTGGACACCAGCAGGGGTCTAGGATCTGGGGCGAGAAAACAGGTGGCCTTACTGCCCTCACCAGCCGGGCGGCTGGGGCTCCTGCCTGCTGATGCTCGGGGCTTCCCTCCCTCACCTGGTGGTCAAGGGCTGGCTGCCCCCTGTGCATCCTCAGGGAGGTTGGAGCCCCAAACCTGGTTGCTGGGAGTGTGTGTCTCATCTAACTGGAAGCCTGCATGTCCCTGTCCCAGAAAGGGATGCTTGAGCCTGGAGGAGATGCTTATCTTCCCAGCTCCACTTTGACACCATCCAGCACCTTCCTATCCACCAGGAGACTTTTTATTAGCTCCAGAGCCCTGGGGGCCTAGCTTTTTTTTTTTTTTTTTAATTTTTAATATATTTTATTGATTTTTTTACAGAGAGGAAGGGAGAGAGAGAGTTAGGAACATCGTTCAGCTGTCTCCTGCACACCTCCTACTGGGGATGTGCAACCAAGGTACATGCCCTTGACCGGAATCGAACCTGGGACCCTTGAGTCCTCAGGCCGACGCTCTATCCACTGAGCCAAACCGGTCAGGGCCCTGCGGGGCCTCGCTTATTCCCAGACCCAACTCTAGGCCGAAATGGAAAAGCAGAGATGCAGCTGGGGCAAGGTCCAAATTCTTCTGCTAAGAATAGGATTTCTTTCCAGCAACTTGGCCAGAGGCAGCGCATGGAAGCCGCTCTGTGGTAACCCCTGGATCCTGTCCTGGGAGCAGTTCCAAAGGTCACCGCTGCCCTCTAGGCAGGGCTGATAAGAACTGGTTTCTTATCAGGACGGAGGGTTTTTAACAGGCCCACAGGTTCACCTCAGGAAGGACCCGGAGGTCCAGACCCCATCACGCAGCCTGCTGGTGGAGGGTGGGTTTCTTAGCAACGTGAGAAAAGACTGGTTCAGCCCACTCCAGCTCCAACAGCCTCAGATGCCCAGTCCTGTGCTAAGGGCCCCGTGCCAGCTCGGCTGGCAGCGCCTCACCTGGGCCATGCCCTTGGTCCCGCTGACGTAGGCCGTGTTGGAGAGCTGGGCGGTGATGCTGCAGGTGAAGCTGCCGTGGACGCCCCCCGGGTACTGCAGCAGCACAGTCACAGTGTCGTCCACACCTGGGGGGGAACCCCGAGAACAGTCATGGTGAGGGAATGGAGCCGCACCCCAAAGGCCACATGCGGTAGGACTCCGTTTGTGTGAAATGTCCAATATTTGGCAAACCCATAGAGCCAGAACGTAGGTTAGTGGTTGCTTAGGGCTCAGCGGTGTGGGAGAATTGGGTTATTTATTGTTTTGCATTTTAGTAATAAAAATATTCTAAAATTGATTCTAGTGATAAGTGCATAACATGGTGAATACACTAAAGCCGTGGAATGATACACTTAAATATATATATACACACACATATATGTGTGTGTGTGTGTATATATATTGATTTCAAAGAGGAAGGGAGAGGGAGAGAGAGAGAGAATGCAATCTGGGCATGTGCCTTGACCAGGAATGGAACCATGACCTTCTGCTCCACAGGTTGATGCTCAACCACTGAGCCACCCCAGCTGGGCTGGAATGATACACTTTAAATGAATAAACTGTATGGTATGTGAATTCTTTCAGTAAGCTGTTACCAAAACACATAAACAAATAAATGCTAAAAAAAAAAAATTAAAGAGACTTTGCCTCTCTGAACTTTACTTTCTTCCTCATACGTACTTGTTGTAGAGGCGTGTGAGGATCCATTTCCTCGTCTCTAAAATGAGGGTAATGGAACTGGCCTCACAGAGCTGCTATAAGCATTACATTAAAGGATGTAAAATGCATAAAGCACTGAGTCTATTTAGGTCAGAATAAGAGAGAGGTGAGCATTAGTTAAAAGTTAAACAGCCCCAGCCAGTATGGCTCAGTTGGTTGAGTGCTGTCCCATTCACCGAGAGGAAGCAGGTCCCATTCCCAGTCAGGGCACGTGCCTGGGGTTGTGGGCTCCACCCCCAGTAGCGGGCATGGGAGAGGCAGCTGATCAGTGTTCCTCTCCCTCTCCCTTCCTCTCTCTCTAAAATAAATAAAAACACTTTTTTTAAATGCTTCAAAAAAATTAAACACAGTAAAGTACCAGCCCGGTTCTGGGACCCATCGGACACGCAATGGCTGGAAGAACCTACTGAGCCAGTTCTCTTTGGTCTCGGACAGGCCCAGATTCTAATTCTGGATCTGCTGTGTGAGCCTAGACAAGTCACTTCCTGTCCTGAACCTCAGTTTGCTCATCTGTAAAATGGGGACAACTGTAATATATTTACCTCAGGGAGATCATCCTATATAATAAAAGGCTAATATGCAAATTGTCCCCTCGGGAGTTCAACCCACTGGGAGTTCGGCCGCTTGCTATGATGTGTGCTGACCACCAGGGGGCGGCACAGAAGGAAGGAAGGCCCCGGCGGGCAGCTGGAAGGCCCTGATCGGCCTGATCACCGGCCCAGCCTAGGTGCATGAATTTCATGCACCGGGCCCCTAGTACGTATAATAAAACCCTGTTGCAGAGGAAGCACTTAATAAATGGGATCTGTTAGAGCTACTATTTAGCCTAGAAATTGCCCAGATAGTAGACTGAGGCAGCTTTCTAAAATGTGACCTCCAGTCCTAGCTGGTTTGGCTCAGTGGATAGAGAGTTGGCCCACAGACTGAAGGCTTGATCCCAGTCAACCTTGGTTGCAGACTCGATCCCTGGCCCTGGGAGGCAACTAATCGATGTGTCGCTCTCACACTGATGTCTCTCTCTCTCTCTCTTTCTCTCTCTCTCTCTGTCTCTCCCCCTCCCTTCCACTCTCTCTAAAAATCAATGGACAAATATCCTCAGGCGAGGATTAACAACAACAACAGCAAATGTGGTCTTCACCCCAGGTATTCTTTCCTGGTTATTCGTTGCCTCCTGGGGTACCGTTTGCAAAGATGGCCAGGGAACAGTTAGCAAACACACTGGGGCCTGGCCTCCTTTTGCTGCAGCCAGAACTCTGAGATGTGAATGCACCTGAGCTGGCCAGCTGGCGAGGCCACCTAGAACAGCGGTTCTCAACCTTGGCTGCACATTAGAATCACCTGGGAATCTTTTTAAAATCCTGATTCTGGGCCTCATCTCTGGAAATCTGTTAGATGTCAAAAACCACCAGAAAGTTTTGTAAGGTCACGGATCCTCCCGACGGCCGCTTGGAAAATGTTAAGGTATTGCTTTCCCGAGGCCTCTTCCTCGGCATTCTTGTGAACCAAAAATCAGGGCTTCTGAAGCAGCGTATTTCTCAAATATAGGGAAACAAAATTGAAACTGGGCGAGGAAAATAATTCTGTCTGGAATCCGAGAGTTGAGGAGAGCCTTGGGTAAATGAGGATAGATTTAACAGACGACATGTCTGCATCCATCAATGAAGGCTGGAGAAATGAAGAGAGAAAAGGGGTGAGAAGCAGAGGAGAGGGAGGAAAAATACGTGCATAAAATACGCATTTCATATTTAAATTGTCATATGCCTGGTGCGATCGTGCATGTTGGAACAAATTGAGTAGTTTGTCTCTTTGTCCCCAAAGGTAGCCCTGTTTTTTTCAGACTTGGGTCCCTCCTTGCTTCTGAGCTTTTCAGGGCATTATACCACCCAA